GCGCTGAAGATTTTAAGACTTCGCGTTCTGGTGAAGACGTTACCGATGTCAACGACGTCTCTGGCGACGGGAAAATGATTTTCGGGAGTAAAAAATATCGTTGATGAGGCCGGGATCCGCTAATGAGATTGGAGAGAGAAAAGATTCCATTTTTTTTTAACACATGTTACCTCACATATTGGTTTTTGCAGTGAAGCCGGCGTTCCCCGTGATCGACGCCAGTGCTGCTGCCGCTATGCATCGGGTTCTTTCCTTCGGGAAAGGTCATTGGCGAGGGTCGTTCAGCCTCCTGAGGATTGAGAGAGCGCTTTCCGTCGCGGTCATTCCGGGAAAAATTCTCGGTCGAGGCGAGCCAAGATTATCGTCTCGCCAGAGAGCGGAGATGGCGAAAACAAGGACTGCGGCACCGATGACTGCAGCGCTGACGACAACTGCGCCGATGACCTCATCGTCGCAGGCGAGAGTTCCGACCAAGGTTGCGCCGAAGACGCCCGTCACGTCGATCCTGCGTCCTTGTTCTTCTCCCCTTACTCCTGACGAGATCGCGAGATGGCGTGATCAGTCACGGAAGAGAACTCTTCTCTCTAGCGGCAAGGGAGATAGCGTCCCCGACGGAGCTTCTCCGAAGAGACCGAGAGTGGTACGCCCCCTCCAGCCGCGACCAAGAAGGCAGCACCGATGGGCAACGATGTAGCAGCTTCTGTCAGGCTTACGGCTCCTGGGGATGCTTTCCCGCCGGTCGGTGGATTGCTTCGCGGGGAAACCTACGCGTTGACGAAGTCCAAGGCTTCCGAGATTCGACTCTCTTCCCCTATAATGTGTTATTTATGACTTAGCCTCTTTCGTTTGTCATTACATCTCCTTTCCTTTCTTTTCTTTGTGCAGCTCTTTCTCCATTTGAACCAACTAGTTAGTGATTATGACAAGGATGTTCGTACCCGAGAGAGCGAGCTTAGCGAAGCCAAAGAGGCCAATATTGCCTTGCAGTCGAGGCTGGATGAGCTCGTCCAGCGAAATAAAGTTCTCGAGAATGACGCTCTTTCTGCGAAGATGGTCGAAAAGAAGTTAGGTGTCAAGTTGGCGGAGGCCGAGTCTGGGCGTGCCAAGGACAAGGACGACCTAGCTTTGTTGAAGAGTCAGCTGGACTTCGCTTATGATCACCAAGATACTAGAGTTGACGAGGTCGTTGCTAGAGCAAGGGAGGAGATGACTCGCGGYTTTGATGAATGAGCAAACRAWGTTGCYAAGTTACTMGCRGAGATTGACGGGAMGGCCAAGGAGGACATGTTRGACCTTGCCGAGATTGACGCGAATTTGGAATTCATCGCGCTTCTTCAAAAACCAAAGCCGCCAACTTTGAAAGACGAGATCGAGGAGCTGCACCTGCGACAGGCCCCGATTTACGACGCCCGCAATGTGTTTGCGGACCTTGTCGCCAAAGCAAGGAGGGCGCTAGAGACTCCTGGGGTTCCCGTTGCTGCTGCCAC